AACAATGTCTTCAGATCAATGTAATCGTTAGAACAATGTCTTCAGATCAATGTAATCGTTAGAACAATGTCTTCAGATCAATGTAATCGTTAGAACAATGTCTTCAGATCAATGTAACTGTTACAACAATGTCTTCAGATCAATGTAATCGTTAGAACAATGTCTTCAGATCAATGTAATCGTTAGAACAATGTCTTCAGATCAATGTAATCGTTAGAACAATGTCTTCAGATCAATGTAACTGTTACAACAATGTCTTCAGATCAATGTAATTGTTAGAACAATATCTTAAGATCAATGTTATTATTAGAAAAATGTATTTAGATCAATTTGTTAGACTTTTGAAGGGGAATATCTTTAACTTTAACTGGTCAATAAACACTATTTTAGATTAATTTCAACGTTGTGTTTAAGTTTAAGTGTTGTGTTAAAGTACCGGTAGTGCTGTTTAGTTGAAATAATGAATTGAAGTTGAAGAGCTGAAACATGTCTCATTTTATTATTAACATGGTTCAAAACAAATTCGACTCATTTAAATTTAAAGTCATTAGAAGCATTATTCATTATATGCATTTTTAAAATCATAATTACGGTAATGCATTCTTTGACTTGCGCTGCACTGCCAAAACTCCAGAGCCATTGAAATACCAAAATGTGGAGAACATTCACTGGCATGTATCATTTTGTATCGCATGTCAAAAATTCTGATCAACAGAATCCAACTCTGGGACCTTTCTACTTTCTATGACAAGACTTCTCCTGACCCCAAGGGTAGACACCCTTGACACAAAGAGCAGACACACTTCACAGAGGGCAGACACCCTTGTCACAAAGAGCAGACACCCTTGACACAAAGAGCAGACACCCTTGACACAAAGAGCAAACACCCTTGACACAAAGAGCAGACACACTTCACAGAGGTCAGACACCCTTGTCACAAAGAGCAGACACCCTTGACACAAAGAGCAGACACACTTCACAGAGGGCAGACACCCTTGACATACACTTCACACAGGGGAAATACCGGTACACCATTGACACGGGGCAGACGCACACTTGACACGGGGCAGACGCACACTTGACACAGGGGACAGGCACCGCTGACACAAAGAGAAAATACCCTTGACACAAAGCAGACTTCCAATGAAACACAGAGCAGTCACCCTTGTCATAGAGAGCAGACTTCCCTTGACATAGAGGGCAGACAAATTTGACATACTTTTCCTTTTACTTATGGGCCCCTTACATCTCCGAGGCCCACCTCCTGCAGTGTTTGGAGAGCCCATGCGACGATCCTGATTGATGCCCGGCACCTTCACCATGTGAGATTAACGTCACCAGTTATTTTATATCGTCCCCATATTTTTTTTTTCCCTTTTCATTGCACATGGCTTTTTACTTTTACCGGCAACCCACAGCAAGTAGGTCATGCTAAGGTCAATGCTCCATTATTCATACAATACACCCATTTTGTCTCATTTCTGCCAATCATCCATTTAGCCGGGGCCCGACCATGTGAGCGACGTAACCAACTGACACTTACTTTTACGGGAATTTCAGCCTTCCTCTAGAACTAGAGCGCGTGTTCTGTACCATTTAGGGCAGGGTATTGGTAGGTTTCTGTTGTTGGGAGTCTTGTTTGGGGTTATGAGAGGGAATGGGACAGTTGTAAGGGGGTTGTTGTCAGTGGCGTAACCCTTGAGTTTGCGACGCCCGGGGAATGCCTTGATTTTTCCGACCCCCTCACTTACGAACACCACAAAATCTACTGCATACACAGCCATCATAAGCCATACGGGTACATAATAATAATAGTATATACTGTGGCCATTATTTAATTGCAACCCCCCCCCCCTATTTTCCAATAAAAACTTGGCTCATTAGAAATCCGAAAGTTATTCAAATCTTCCGCCCATGCGACGATCCTGATTGATACCCAGCACCCTCATCCTGATTGATGCCCGGCACCCTCATCCTGATTGATGCCCGGCACCCTCATCCCGATTTATGCCCGGCACCCTCATCCCGCTTGATGCCCGGCACCCTCATACCTCATGATGCCCCGCACCCTCATCCCTCATGATGCCCGGCACCCTCATCCCTCATGATGCCCGGCACCCTCATCCCGATTGATGCCCGGCACCCTCATTCCGATTGATGCCCGGCACCCTCATCCCGATTGATGCCCGGCACCCTCATGTTGCCCGGCACCCTCATCCTGATTGATGCCCGACACCCTCATCCTGATTGATGCCCGGCACCCTCATCCTGATTGATGCCCGGCACCCTCATCCTGATTGATGCCCGCACCCTCATCCTGATTGATGCCCGGCACCCTCATCCTGATTGATGCCCGGCACCCTCATCCTGATTGATGCCCAGCACCTTCATCCTGATTGATGCCCGGCACCCTCATCCTGATTGATGCCCAGTACCTTCATCCTGATTGATGCCCAGCACCCTCATCCTGATTGATGCCCAGTACCTTCATCCTGTGAGTTTAACGTCACCAGTTATTTTGTGATTTTATTTTCTGTCTTTTTTGTTGTTGTTGCTGCTGACAAAGTCTTTCAGTCGAAACGTCATTTTCACTGTCTACTTTTGTTCTTCTTCAGGCTTTCAAATACCGTTACCCCGTCTTTACTGCCATACCAACGAACGGCTTGGGCGCATGTCCATTATATTAATATACTTCATTTCTTTCATAGCAAAGTTTATCCCATGATTTTTTATAGACTCCAACAAGAGTACACTGACGTAGGAAGGTATGGGCGGACCATTTTTCTTCTACTTCTATATATTGGGGGTGGCTATTTCGGCCACCTACTATTTTTTTTTTTGGGGGGGGGGGGATAGTACAAACCCTGCTACGCCACTGCACGAGTAAGGATGGTTTGTGATGGCCTCAGATCTTCAAGGGGCCCCAAATTTGTGCATAGTTGTGCTGTGGACAAAATGTGAAAGTAAAGGCAAGTACGGCACCCGGTGTTTAAATTGCATGGAATAGCTAAATACCAAAAACATAAAAGTGTGGCCCAGCATACGTCATGGCCACACCATACGTCACAACATCAAAGTCAGTTAGCATTTCAACGAGGCAAATATATCAGGTTTTGTGTATCTTCTGGATTACTGTGTTAAAATCATTGTTACCGGTAATTATTTAAGCATTTTGAAGTTAGTAGGGTAGATAAGAACTATAACAAATATAGACCAGTAGTCAGGGGCGTCGTCTATCCCCAGTCCCCGGGTGGAAAAGTCACCCCCCTCTCTCCCATTAGACCCTTGGACTTGATAAAATGTGTCATGTATCCAGTGTGTCATGCCAGTCATGGTATTGGTTTTTAATTCTAGAGTTCACTATGAATAATAGTAATACCCGGTACAAAAATTAACACTTAAAAAAGTTGTTAGAATATTATTGACTGCTCAAGAATAATGTTTGATGATGACAAACAATTTCACTTTGGAGTTGGAAATCCACGGCTAAGTCTGATAATTATTAAAACATTTTTTTTTTTTACTTTGGTTGCATACAACGTAAGTCTGATTTCAAATGACTAAGAAACAGTCACCAAAATACACTCAGATAAAACAGCAACAGTTTCACTCTTTGAAAAAAAAAAATTAACAACAGAGCAATTGGCTGGCATAAACTGTATGTTCCTCTATTTAAAAGCTATAACTGGGAGTACTTCTGAGTGACCTACAAAACTGAGAGTACCTAAATCATCTTAATATTTTTATATTCTAAGGTGAAGAAAAATGTATTTATAGTGTAGCACTAGTGACAGAACTTAGTGTTTTAACTTGAACAGGAATTGTGTATTGCTAAATTATAGATAAGCCATGAGTTTGTCTTTATTTCACAGTCAACACACATTTCCTCACAAGTACAACACTATCTTATCACATCTATGGTTTAGTAAAAATATATTTGTAGGTATAGTATCATATGGAATTATTATTTTCATGTACGGTACTGTACAGTGAAAATGATGCTTCAAAAATTGCTTAGATGATTTGCCTTTATGATACTTTATCATTTTAATTTTGTACATAAAGTGCCCTGACAATCCACATTATTTTTTATAAGGAAATTTGATTACTTATCATGCTACATTTTAGCAATATTAGAAAAAATATGTATGAACTGCAAAATATTTTTTTTTCCTTTTTTTTTAAAGAACCGTTACCCCCTTTGTCTGCATTGAAAAAATTGTAAAAATGTGTCCATGGTTTGTGTCAAATGACAACTTTCATACAGTTAGAAAAAATGTACATCTGAGGAAATAAGTTAGCCAATAATCTTTTAAATGACATAGATCTATACATTCAACATGAATCTGATGAGAGCCTATTCAAATGGCAAGAAGAAAGAATTCAACACAGGTCTGATACCACAGAATATTGACATAAGAAATTTAAACATTCAAGTACCGGTAACAAGAGATTTTAATTTTAAAACATAATATTAAAAAAACATTTTGGAATTGGAAGGGGGTTGCCAGTCTAGCTCCCCATAGGATCTGACTGACAGAATAATACTAATGAAAGTTGTGTGTCATTTGGGCTCCCTTGCATAGCATTTGGTGAGGGAGGTGAAACAGCATTATTTCCAAATGATGATTCAGATGCATTGGGGCTTTGCTTTTCTTGTTTACTCTCTTCCAGCAATACTTGTTGTAGACGTATTCTAGTAGCAAGCTTTCTCCTTTTTGGAACATCACGAAGATACGGTAGTAAACTCATAAGGAAATAATAATCTTCATCTCTCTTAATATCTTTAAGTTTAAGTGAATTTCTTCTGCTATACACTTTTCCCAGTTGGTTGGTTTGTGTCTGGTCGAGTGACTTAAGCTGATTCAAAGCATCAGGTTTTTTAACATCAACAAGTTTTTGCATTTTGAAGGACGACTCACTTGTATCGGTACCATAACATAGGTCTTTCTTACAAAAACCATCCACTAGGAACAAAAGCTGTTTGTAAAACTTCCATGTTGATTGAGGGGCATTTTCTCGTGAGCATTTCCTGTATTCTTTGCGAAAGGTATCCCTTAAATTTTGCCACTTCATTTTTACAGTTTGAACTGAAAATCAAATGAAAAAAATAATCTTTGTATAAAAACATCTTTTCAAAATTGATACTCCTTTAGAATTCATGAATTTGAGATTGCACACAAAAACAACAGACTATTTACAGGGACTATGAGCAATTTCATCAGCGATCATATAGCGATTTGGGAATATGAGCATTTATATCAACAGAGGACAGAGCAAAAGCATGTACAAATCAAAAGCTCTGAATTAACTTTTTTTGGTTGTTGAATTACTTCCATTTAGTCCATTATAAAATATTCTGATCAGTGATCCTTTGAGGAGTTTACATCTGGCCACTCAGTCAGTGCAAACAAGAGCTTGCATTTAGTATTTAGAGCCCCACAATAATCGTGAAAGATTAAAATGATGGTTAAAATAATTGAAATTTAAGAAATAGTCAAAATACATTTACTATTTACATACTTGTATTGTCGAGTTCTACACCTATTTCCTGCCAAAGTTGCCTGGCCATTTCCCTGTTTTGGTAGTTCTTGCATGTTGCATCCCACAGGGGCCTTCGGTGGTGAACTAAACAAATTAATTTAATATTATCCACCATTACCGTAGTTGTTATCATATATAAAGAAATAGTCATCAATCATTTAAGTAAATAAACGGTTATAGTTATAAAGAGTAGAACTAGAACATTCATTGTTTCAATAAAGCATTTGAGATCAAGTAGGCCACCATCAGTCTTGATGACAGTGAGCTTCGCGATGGCCACCGGTACACCCCACACTGGCGAATCGGCCGGAAACAAAAATATGCCCGATCAGGACGTTCTAGGTAGAACACATACACTGACACAGCCAGTCGGCGGATCACACACTACCTACCCGCCCGTCCTTGACCGTGTCGCCTTCGTCCTCACTTTGTTTCGCGTATTTGTATTTTGTTGTTTACGGCTCTTCGTAAACAATAGAGCAATAGTAATATGGGAAAAAAAGAGAAGCACCGTGCGGCAACCATACCGACAACCGCGGCTCATACAACTATTAAGCAAAAGATATCTGAATTTTTAAAAAAGTGAATGGATTAACTGAATTAACAATAAATCATCAGAAATGACGGCGTCATTGGCCTAATAATCGCATGGCATAAATTAAAAATCTGCGCGAATCAATTAGGAAAAAATATATTTGAATTAATAAAAAAAGAAGAAAAAAAAAAAAAAAAATTGATACCAGGCCAATGCAGTACTACAACATTTGAAGCATTTTTTTT